AAAGGACATTCAAGAAGTGGAAGCAGGAAAAGGAGAAGAAGCGGGCCATGGAGCAGGAGGGAGAGGAAAAAGAGGCCGAGAACGATGGGTAGTGATGTGTGTCTTTCAGTGCTGCACAAAATTTTGCTTAACAGCTTTGCCGAGGTTTGTTGTGTTGTGTGCTTGGTGCGTGTTTCCCTTTCTTCGTGCCGATCTTGTATACGGAGTATTAGCAATATACAGCAGTAAACAATACTGCTTTATAAATATTTTCGTTTGTGTGTGCAGAGATTCGTCAAAGTTATATAGAAGTGATGGTATTTCTCCCTATATGGGTGTCGTCGACCAACTTTTCTTCGTGCTATCTGTACAAATCCAATCATGTGGTGTCCGTAGTGTACAAAAGCAGGCACTGAGAAGGGTGGTGGGCGTCCCGGGGGGAAGGTTAGGGGGCTCCGTGGATGAATTTGGGGGAGGTATGTCGTGTTTAGGGGGCTCCGTGGATGATTTTTGCCAAAAATGTTGCATATCGCCGAAATTTAAAAAACTCTGCAGCTATCGACGTATCTCGACGAGGCGGTCACGACTATCGTTGTTTCACGTTCCCATTCTTTCTCAAAAAGAAGTTATCGCACAAAACGTAATTCGACAAATTGTTGTGCACGGACCGTATAAAGTTTGGTCATCGTTTTTCTGTTTTTTGTTCTGTTTTTGCTGTTTCGTTGCCGCCCCAACCTCTTGTTTATTGAACTAGTTTCGCAGGTTTTTAGTCTCTTTCGTGCTTACGTTACGCCGTGCCACTTGTCTATACTTGTCGTGATGCAGGAGGAGCTCATGTCGAAGGGGGTCAAGTGCGGAGGAACACACTACCAGCGGGCGGCGCGTCTATTCTCTCTCAAGAGACTGGCGCCCGAGGACTACCCGCAGGAGCTGTTCGCAAAGAAGGCCAAGAAATCGTCATGATCATGATCACGCGTGATACATACCGACATTTTCTTTTGTGGCAGTGGGCATGGTCTGATGGTCTCCTGGTGTACGTACCCGCATGTGTCCTCAGTGGAGAAGGCCTTGAGTGAATTAATCATAATCATGATAGGCGATGGGCGATAGGCGGTGTTTCGTTATCTGGTAGGGCGTCGACATTCTTCCCTTTGGTCGTCAAGCGTACCGGGCGGTTGCGGGGTTGGTGTTTCCTGTGGGAGACACTCTCTGACCAGGAATCATCTTGGTCATTGGTCATTAGTCATTGGTTGGTTTCTCGCACGGTGGCGTGGAAGCAGATGTGCGCAGCTACAAATGCGGTAGATGTGTGACGCGGGTCGAGGGGCCGTCATCGGCATCATCGGCTCGTCGTCATATCCGTCCATTTAGTCCTAGACAATAGACTACTTAAACCGCAGAGAAGAGAGAAGAGAAGAGGTCTTGCATCTAGATCGTGGTAGGTAGCTCTTAGCGACCAAAATGTCGAACAAGTTGCCGCGGACGTGATGGGGGGGGGGGGNGGGCATCTGGTCGACGTAACATCTATCTCTTGTCCTCTTGGCCGTCTGTCTGTCACGTGCCCGCTTGGGATGTCTGCATATATATACCGTACGAGTACTGTAAAAGCCTTGAAACGTAGTAGGTGGCATGTGCTACGATGTGATGCTTGCCGCAGTGTGTACACGAAGTTTGAGGCGAAGAAGAAAGAACTCTTGAGTTTGCCAATGAGCGAAAATCACTCGGTTTGGGAGTCTTAAACAACGACAGCGTATTGTTGCAGGATCATTGGTGTTTGTTGCTCGTGCTAAGACAAAAAAAAAAACAAGAGGGAGCTGTTGTGTGGGCCTCGTGTGTGGCGAAGACGGGATGATGAAGACAAAGAGAAATGACGAGCAGCACTTGTTGGAAGTGTCTCTGTGTCTTAAATCTTCAGTCTCGCCGTTCAAAGGGAAGGAGCACTCACACACCCTCCTGCGGTGCGTGCATGCCTCCGTTGCATGCGAGCTTGTGCCAGCACGATGAATTCGTCTTCAACCTGAGACGTTTGTTGTAATACTTCTCAGTCGAGGATAGCCATGAGCGTGAGCATGGCAACAGTAGTCGGCAGGGGACAACTATCTATCATAGATATGCTTAAGCAACCTAAAAGCCAGATTAATTTGATCATGTTGGGTAGTTGTTTCTTCTCTTATTTGATCATGCTGGGTATCTGTTTCTTCTCGTCCAGAGGGCGGCATCGAACGAACCAATCACATATCCTAGTCGGCGCGCCGCGGGGGTGTCACGAAAAACTCTACTCTACAAACAAGGTACAAGAGAGAGACCGCCCCGCCGCCATAGGGCACACATGCCTCTCGAACAACAAGAGGGTGGAAAAGAAACAACACACGTCTGGAAGGAATAGCTACACCTCCAACACCTTCAGCATGCACCTTACGTCGAAGACTGCACGTTACGGTTGCATGTGCCTTCTCTATTTCTCTATAAACACCCTTTTGCCCCCCCCCCCCCCCCCNAAAACAAGCCGCCCCCCCCGGTGTTTGCCGTCGGGATTGGGTTTCGTCGCTTGGCAACGACAATGTAAAACAAGCCAATTCACCTCGTGAGCTCGGCAACCAGGTTACCGTTCTTTTTTTTGGCGGTAACCATCATGGTGGTCGAGTGGATCATGTTGTGCGGGGTGGAGAACCCTCACTCCGCGCAAGGGGGATGATCGCACCACGTTGTGTTGATATGGTCAACCACCCTCGAGGCAGTTACACAGTGCTTACAACTGTCTCTGGAAGTGAAAGCACCAGAAAACAAACTTAAGTCATGCGCAGCTGTCATCCGTACGCAAGGATTTAAGCACAAGATGCCGAAAACCCTTGGCAGGATGCAGCGCACCCTTCATGCGACTCGCCGAATATCTCACGGCGCTTCGCGCTTGGTGATGTGAGAGCCTGGTCCGGTGAGAACCCGGCGTGCTCCGTCCCGGCTTTGTAGGGATGC